ATTTCTTGTCAAGTCATATATTTGATTACTTTTTAATAAAATAGGAAACTATTAAGTAAGGAAATTACTAAGGAAATACATTTAAAAAAAATATGCCAATAATACTTTACGGGTGATATAGAAATCTATTGTTAAAACTTTAATTATTCTAATTATTATGTAATAATTTTATTAACGTATTTATTATCATTAAATATCATAAAATATTATACATAAAACATATTAAAAAAGAAAATTTTAATGTTTGTAAAAATAAAAAATAATTTTAATAAAAAAAAATTACTTTTAATAATAGTTTAGCGGAATATATAATTGAGCGCATATTTAATATGCAACACTCCTGAAAACGTGCGGCGGCTCGGCCGTCGAGCTTCAAACAATAGTAAGGGGGGGGGCAGTAGGCGTCGCCTTCGAAATTGGACCGAAAAGGGCAACTAATTCCGAGCACTAGTTTATATCAATCGCAGGAATTTAATAAAGAACCATTTCTATGTTCCATGTCAACTAAAGTTCTGTCAGGATTTTTGAAATTATACTCATTAAATTCCAATAAAGAAGAATTAATTTCTTGCAATTGACGATGTATTTGTTGTAATGGATTGATAGGGGATTTCATTAATTTTTTTAACCTATCAGGATAACTCTCAAATAAAAACGCTGAAAAAATATCTAAAGGATCATGGATTTCAACATCGTCACATATATGTACTAAAAACTAAACGTTGCAAACAGCAAATTGTGAACCGTACAATTCATTTTTATAATAGTTAAAACGATCTCGTTTTCTCACGGATAGCGGTCAGTCGGTTACCAGGTGGGGGAAGCAAGGATGTTGGAGACAGAATTGGTATAGATGCGAATTAGATCGTAAGCGAAAATATATTATAATAATCGTTTATTAAAATAACGAGATAAATAACAATAATATAGTGCCGGATGGAAAGACACGAATCGAAAGAATGGAATAGAATTTGCCGTGGTCGGGCGAAATGGTGCTCGATGCGTGTTTACAAGTTTTTATATAACTGAGATATCGCTTCAGCGGTGTGATACTGAGATCGCTATGCGTACTCGGTGATGCGGGACGCGCGCGGCGGGCAGCGGTGTCGCATGTGTTGTCGCGGACCTTTAATTCTCGAGCGATTTAAATCGCGTACGCGTGTTGAAGCGCGGGCGTTGACTCGGTCGCGAGGGTGGAATTTCCGAGAGGATTTTCTGACCGTTCAGGTCGGAGAACTGGTGGGCCCGTTCCCTGCCGAGGAATCTCTCTCCACAGGAGCGGAGAAAAAGGATTGGATGTAATTGGTTTTTGGGATGATAAGGAATCGGAGCGGAGATGTGGAAAAATAGGAAGAGGAGTTCAATGGTAAAATAACGGCGCAGCGCGGGGACGGTTTATGCGCTTGTAGATGCGATCATGGCGCGG